TGGCTGATGAAGCGGGTTTTCAAGCGATTCATGGTTGGGTGAGGGCTAAGTTTTGTTTCTGTTAATTCGGAGCAATTGCAGGGTGACAGAATGCACAGAGAGAGTTCGATGAAGTCATAAAGGCAAGCAATATTAGAAACCACGTGGACGGTTTGATGCTTTTACTTGTTGACGAAGTTAAAATCAACGATCGGTATTAAATATTTCACCGTCACATGGATCGATAGCTAATCCGTTGATAATAACCGTATGGACGGTCAAGATTATCCTCCAGTTTGCTGTAACTGTACAGAGACGAAATATATAGCCTGTATTTACAGAAAGATTATATTCCAAAAAATATTTATGGTAATACATCAAAATAAAATCCCCAAATTAGGGATGTGTTAAGTGCACAACATTTTTAGAAAAAAAAAAAATTTTTCAGAGAAGTCTAACCAAGTCAATAAAGGATCCCCTGGCACACTACGTACCGGAACCAAGTCAATGGTTTGGGCTGTGTTGATTTTTATATGCATTGCCTTTTCTTCCAAGGAATGAACGTGGGCGATCCTGTCTATCGTGGGTATAAAGGAATGTGTTCCTGCGAAGAGAGTTTGGAGGTATTTGCACTCCCTCTTTATCACGTATGCTGGGTTCTTAGGGACCGTGATGGTCCAGGTTGCGCGTGGATCATGGTCAGATAATGAGCGTCGGAGTTGAGTGGAGGAGACGGAGCTTTGGGGTGGTTTAATTTGATGGGGTACTCTCAGTGCTGGCTGCTTGTTATTTGGTCTGAGGTGCTAGGCTGCCGTGAAGAATTGCTGTTTTCCGGTTGTTTCTCAGAGATTCAATGCGGCTGGTGAAGGTAGATTTGAAGCGATACATGGTAATTTCAGCAGCAATGTGGTTTTGGGTAAGGAGAAATAGGTCCGATTTTGAGAGAACGGAATTGATCTCCGATGACGAAAAGTAAACAGAGAAAAATGGACGGAGAAGAGAGAAAACTAAGAAGAAAAGCTTCGAAACAAGGAAGAAATGTGAGGGACACCTAGGAAGAGAGAAAGAGTCCCTTGGGAAAGCAGACAACATTTTCTTTCTCTCGTAACAATTGCATTTCATATTAGGCCTTTTTTTTCTTTTAAGTCTAGTACATAAATATATATTTACAAATTATTTATTAATTTAAGTGCTAAATATAAAATTCTAAGTATTTAAATAGAGATTAAAATTAAAAAATTATACTTAAATATTTTTAAATTAAATATCAAATATAAGTCATATATGACTTATGCATGAAAATGCTCATCCTGCTGTAAACTGATTGGAGCTGAAAAGCCCACCCCGTAAGTCAAAGCCCAATAAAATTACATGCTATATCTCGCCTATGTATCCATATGACCACATCTATAGTGAACAAGCCATTTGGTGGCCCAATACGTCATGGGCATTGGTCATTAAATTGTTCCTTTTGTAAGGTCATCAAAATGTTTAATCTTTGGCTTTCATTATGGTTATTGTAAGTGGTTAAAAATTTAAAATTTAAAATTAAAGATTTAAAATTTTAATTTTAAGGTAAGTGAGAAAGAATTAAGGAAAAGAGAGATATTTGTGTTGTATAACTTATTATTTAATATAAAACAGATTTAATCTTTTTTTATATTAATT